AAGACCTACACCAGATGACAGATACCTGAAACAGGTAATCCCAACAGCTCGCCTTTAAGCATGCTGTGCTAAGATGAGCTAAAAGTACATAAATTGAAATGGTATTTATCATTATTTTCAATGGTTAAGTATTGGATTGGCACAATCTAATGTTTAACTTTCAGGACATTCTTGTATACAAATATTTCAGTTTAATATGGAATATTTCAGGTGTATTACACTCTATAGGCTATACTTTCATTGATTCTGATGCTACAGTTAATTGTATAATTGTGTAGTAATTACCTCTCTAAAGTAGTATCTATACAATTGAAAGCATATAAATTCTCATAATGACAATTAAATACAAGAGCATTTGACAAGCCCATATACCATAGGTTGTAAAATATAAGCTGGTAAAAAGGCTCCAATCATAACATGTACATTGTATATGTTTAAGCTTCACAATGCATGTTCATAACTCACCTCCCGTAGATAATTGCGTTTCAAACCTCAATTTGTTTCAAAACGACTGCAAGGGGCCCTGACATGACCCCTTTGGTATCCTGGGTATTTGTGCATGCACACAGCATGCCTTTGATTGGTTAGATGTTTTACCTACTTAAACCTCCACATAACTTGAAATCTTCGGTTTGCCCCAATATAATACACATGCAGCACCAGATAAACTAAATATTTTCACTATCTTAAATATTTTACAATAATCACAATGTTATCAACCTCTAGATCTGCATTATCAACTATTACAGTCTTATCAAATGGGTGTAAACTTATTTTCAAAAAAAGATATGACCCAAAATTTACTGAAAAGAAAGAAAACTAGAGCACCTACTTGACATGATAGATTGGGTATATCACACATGTATTATGTACATGTAGCATAACCATATTTAATTAATTATAATAGTTTACACGAGTTTTGCAAATTGCAAATAGTGGATGCAAAAAAAAAGTATTACAGATCATTTAAAGTCAAACTCGATCACTGCTGTACCAGCTATGTTCCATACAAAATAAAGCATAAATCATTGTGCTGTTAACAATCATATCATCCTATTATAAATAATACTAACTAGATGCAGCAAGAGTAGAGAACTAAGAGGGGCTCAGACCTAGCCATTTCAACAGAGCCCAGAAAACTACCACAGGTACCCTACAGGTTATTATTATATGACTTCAATCAAAATGGGTTCATAACTTAGCGACATATAGTCAACACAAAAATAAAATTTCTTTTTAATGATGAAAGAGAAAAATTAAACCAAACTTAAAATTTGCATGCTGTTACACATCAAAACATCAAAGGCTGGTTTCAGTAAAGACATAAGCTGTATTTTATGTAGTACAGGGAAATGAACATGTTCATTACACATGGAGTAATAAAACGTCAAAACTTGAAATAAAACTTACATTAAGACATAAAAGTTTAAAGGGCTGTGAAACAACTCTAAGATTTGTTACAACTAGTTGCTGGAACAGATGTTTTTATTGAACATGTATATTTTGATAGATAGATGCATTATAGTGCTTTTATGAGTTTTTGACAATGAGAGTGTAATAATCCTTAATTAGTCTTTAATGTCACTCTGTAATGATGTACATGTAGTGATTTACCTATACATGCTTCACATTTATATTGAAGAGAATAACAATAGGTGCAGTTTAATTAACCCTTACCCTGTTCCTGAAGGGAAAATTTCAAAATAAGTACTGACCAAATAACAATCAGTGCAGACCATGATTGTGCTGGCTGATGTTGGTTTGCATCATTCACATGGGTATATTTAGCTGGACCACTAGACTAAGGATTAATGTTATACTGGTTGAGGACCACCAAAACCGGACAACCACCAAACCCGGACGGCCCCGAAAATGCTTAATTTAGTATTTTCTTTCTTCAGTGGTTGTCAGTCACTTTTTTAATCAACAATAAGTGCATGTTTATTTTAAAATTATGTAAATAAATTTATTTCAACCTCCGTAAATGGTGATATTTTAATGTCTATTTCAAGAATGTTGACGTTGAAATTTGGGGGTCAAGAAAGCAATGCCTGACCTCATATACCAGCTACATGTATAATCATTTGCAGAGTGAATAATATATTATCCAAAACTTCAGCATTTGTTGCTGACATATTGTATATCATGTTAAAAATCAAAAATCAAAACACCCAAGCTTTTTTCTGAATTAAATCATGTCATTTACATATCTGTCCGGACACATGGTACTTTAGTGTAGACAATTTAGGTAATTTTGATACCCTCCTTGCTGAGCCTCAGATATAAGTGTCAATAAAATCAGAAATAAACAAACTAGTTTGTTAGTTAGGAGAAGAACCTAGCTGAACTGTGAACTGTGTCAATTTTTTTGGTCTCTAGGTTAAAAAATTATGAAATCTGTACGGAAAAATGTTCCAAAAGTGTCCGGTTGATGGTCTCCGACCAGTATACATGTATAAGATCAGGTTTAACATGACATGGGGTATTCTCTTTCATAGAACATAGAAACTTTGTTCGGGGGGGGGGGGGGGGGTGCAAACCAGGCATTAAACATGTAAGTTTAGGCTAATGTTTCAAATATAAGATACAATGTACAATTACATAGACAATTAGTATCTACCATTATTTCAAGATTATCTGGATATCATATAATTGGCAAGTGTATTGAAGGATGTTTGTACACAGGAGGTAGTAACTAAAGATATAACCTTAAATACTGTAAATAAATGAGGATATCCCTGCTCAACTTTCACCTGTCTATAAGATACCATACACATCACTATCAGTTAGCCGTGTGTCAAACTTATACCACCTTCCTGTCAGCAGATTATATTATCATAATATCTAGTATACCCTAATGGTCAACTATCACTTTAAATGTAATTTCTTTATCACTGCCCTGTATCATTCAGTAATTCACATGATATACATACTAAAATATGTGTAATCATGCAAATTACACTAACTGCATCAGGCATTATAATCTAGGAAAGGCTATGTTCCAATAGCTGAGCTTACAGTTCTCTGAAACTAACTTAAATATTTTCTGAAAAGCCATACTATGTCATACACTGTACATGTATAAAATTACTATGTAAGGGCCTGACTCTTGAATACAAGTTGTTAAAAAAAATGCTTAACAACTGAAGTGAAATCCTATCCCTAACAAAAAAATCTAAAGTATTTAAAAGAAAGATAATATTTTCACGATATAAAGGGATTTTTTTTATAGAAGTTTCAAATAAACCGCAAACAGACAAAGCAGTTCTCCCAGTCAAGTATTTTTTGCATATTGCCTAATGTTATCATCCTGCCATGCATCAGTGAATTTTCATGAATACTATGGCAGCTAAAATCAAGTTCAACAAAAGTTAATTTGACCAAATGCCTTAACTACATTTTAGATGACATAACAGAATATCCTAACTTATAGTAATAGACCATTTATATCACCCTTCATAGTTTTATATAATTGAGCCGCGTCACGACAAAACCAACATAGTGGGTTTGCTACCAGCATGGATCCAGACAAGCCTGAGCATTTGCGCAGTCTGATCAGGGTCCATGCTGTTCGCTGTCAGTTTCTCCACTTGTAATAGAGTTGGTAAGCGAACAGCATGGATCCTGATGAGACTGCGCGGATGCGCAGGCTGGTCTGGATCCATGCTGGTCGCAAACCCACTATGTTGGTTTTGTTGTGATGCGGCTCAATTATTAAGTATATATTATTATCTACATTTGTATCATTGTATCTAGGAAGTCAATATTAATATGTATGACAAGAGTTAATTTCCTAAGCGGAATCAACAAGCAATTTCCTACATGCAACAATATATTCAATTTCTCTCCAAAACTTTGATACATATATACTATAGATCAGGAACAATTGTAACACAATCAAGTTTTCAAAACTTTTTGCTGCGTGTCACATTTGTATTTATTATAATTATACACATGAGCCAACAATGGGGTATATACCTGGCATGGCAAAAGGGGATCTGGGCACAGCACCCTCCCATTTCACACTTCCTGCCTGGTTACTACATGCATTATTTGTGTATTTATGTAAAGGACTCCGCATTTTTTTTATGTTATGCAATTTTCCTTAAATATCAAGTCTCATCAACTTAAACGAATATTTACAGCAACTTGATACATTTGTACAACAAGGAAAAAAACTTAGAGGACTCAATTCAAACTTCAATTACCAGGAAATGGAAAACTCATTTAAAGCTCTGTATAAGCATATGTATAAGAACTACATGTAATGTACTACAAAAACCCCATAGAGTAAGAAAAACCAACAATTAGTCTACTTTCGAAATTGTACCTGTGAAAATGATTGAATAATGCATTATGTAAGAAAACATAAAATTCATTATGTAGTTACACATCCTCAGGGCAATGCTGAAATGATCTTACCATCACTTCATGAAATATGTGTAAACAATAATAATTAGCAGGTACATTAAAATGTATTAATAAGACACATGACATATTGACAGACTTAATGACAGATGGTGAATATATATATCAATATGGTTTATTTACAATGTAGTTTGCCAGCTGAAGATTTTATTATTGATTTATGTATCACTATGATCTTCTAAGGACATTTATTTAAATTATCATTCACAACCAAGGTACCCAAAGTCCAATATTCAGTGGTATCGTATGCATAATGATCTTAATTTTTAAAAAAAAAAACCTTTTGAAAATGTATATTAGCACCATTTCTTTAGGGTTAAATAGACTATCTACAATACATGAGACCTTCACAGTAATGCATTTCAATTATTGTTAATATCAGAACATTGGAAATCTCTATACACATTGTACTTCAAGTTCAATGTTGTAACCACAAATTGGCTATCAACAATAAACCTGCATTATATCCTATGATAGCACAAAATAATAAAATACATTTAAATATCAAAAAGGAATATATTTCCATATTAATCTAACTAAATCTTATATTAAGAAAATATGCAATGACATACCTTTCCTTTTCTTGTCTTTTTGTATGGTGTTTTCTCAAAAGTGACTTCTGCACCATGAAATAGAAATGGGCAAGGTTTAATGATTGTTGGTATGTAGCCCTCTTGGTACTCACTCTCCTGTTTATCATCTGTTATACTTGATAAATCCAGCTTTGGCACATTTGTATCACTAACTGACTTGTCTGTTGCATTTATCTGATCTAAAGTTTTCCTTGGAGGTTTGCGTTTAGGCGGTTCTTTTCTCTTATTAGCTATCTTACTTGAATCAAACACCATTTTAGTAGCTGGTTGAGAAGTCTTTTTCTTTTGTCTGTTTAGAATGTCATCAATATTTGTTTTAGGTAACTGCGGTTCTTGTGAAGTTGGTAAAGGAGGCGCTGTATTACCCGGCTCAACATCAGAAATGTTGGAAGAACCGTTGCTAACTGGGCGTTCAGGTGCTTGTCGTTTACGCGGAATAGGTGATGGAGAAGAACCGTTTGCAAGATGAACAGAAGAGGTTTTTAACTGATTCTGCTGATCAGGTTGAGTTTTTTTCAGGCGACTTGCAAGAAAAGATGACATTCCAGTCACAGGAGCCTCAGATTTCTCTCCTGAATTTTGAATAACTGGCTTCTCTACTTCATTCGCAATACTTTCAGCTTTTATAAAATTTTGCTCTTTTACTTTAAACTTTCTTGGTTTAGGTTTATTATCTTTTGCTTCAATAATATTTGGTTTTATTTCAGTTAATCCTTCACTTTTTCTTCCTTCCTGGTAAGTTTTGACAGGAGATATTTCCATAGGAACTTCTTTTTCATTTTCATTGTTAGTTTTTGTGTCATCTATACTTTTTATCTCAATGGACACTGTTTTTGGCACATTATTTGATAAACTTTTATTTGATACATCCCCATTTCTATTTTGTCCAACATCCCTATTCTTTTTCACCATATTATTGGAATCAAATATTTGTGTCTTCCTCGGAGAAATTTTCCCAGATTGTTTACTAGAAGGTTTTATATTGGGCTCAACAGATACAGCTTCAGAAGCAACAGTCTCTGTCACTTCCTGTACATCACTTAAGGTCAAACTTTCTCTTTTCTTTTCCTGTTCCAATTCTTGCTGTTTTCGCTTGTCTGCTTCATGTTTAAGCTCAAGAGTATCTTTTGGGACTTGATGATGTTTTTTAGCAAGTACTGTAGGTTTCGACTTCTTTGGTTTTTCAGTTTTCTTAGAAACAGATTTAGAGTCAAAAACTTTTGACATGGGATGAACTGGTGTTAAAGTATGCTGAACACTGGGACTTAGTGGGCGTGTTGATGTTGTGTCAAGGTCTTTTTCAGAGTAACTGCTCCTATTTTGTGTCAGATTTGTGTCTGACTTCTTCCCCATATCTTCTGATCCTCTTCTTCTAAACATTTCTAGAGACTTTTGTAAGGATGTTGAAGTTGTGTCAACATTTTGTGCATAGTCTGTTGATGAACTATTCCTTGGAGAAGATAAATTTGTGTCTAAATTGGATGAATTTCTAGGTGAATTTGACTTGCCTTGGTCTTTTAAAAGATTTATTTTTGATGTGTCATCAAAGACATTGTCATCATTCATTTTTACAAGTGGTGAACGAGGGGTAGAAACAGGGGATGTTACTATTGGAGAATTTGTGTCAGATCCAGAAGATTTTCTTGGTGGCGAACTTTGACGCCACACACTTAATGAATCTGTAACTTTATTTGTTTTTTCAAATAAAGTCCTAAATTGAGAAACTGTGTTAGGTTTTGGTAATTCATTTTCATCATGAACACTTTCTTTTTCAACAAGTGGTTTCACTCTTCTAAAGCTATCTGAAAAGTCTTCATTTACATCACTTGATGATTTTATCTTCTCTTTCTTTGCAGGAATTGAGGATTCCTTTGATTCTATAATTACTAAATTGTCCCTGCCAATTTTTTCCAAATCTGGAGCAACTTTCCAATCATGATGTTCCATCTTTGGAATAACAGTATCAGAATTAGAATTTCTTGAGTATAATTTCTTTCTGGAAGAGTCAGATGCGTTTTTCTTTGGCAAAGGAGGCTTAACACTGCGGATAACATTGTTTTGTTTCAGTATTTGAATCTCTTTCTTTTTGGCTGAAACAGACTTATTCGAATCTGTGCTTTCCAGGTCATAACTCCTAGGCCTGCCTTTTATTTGTGGTTTATAACCTACAGGTTTACGGAAATCTACCTTAGTGTTACTTTGTGAAACGGAAGAATCATCTCTTTGCCATGGAGGAAGTTTACTGACCGATTCTTTTGAGCTACTACCAGATATACTCAAAAGATTTTCAACACTAGCAGACTTTCTTGAGAGTGTTACTTTGGTACTTTTATTCTCTAGCTGAGCAAACTTTGAGCGTAATTTGTTGACAAATCCTGAGTTAACATGGTACTCTTGTTCCGGATCATCGTCTCCTCTGTCACTACTTGCTGAACTTGGAATGGAGTACTCAGAATCTGCAGGCTCCTGACGAGCATTGTGTTGAGGCAATCCAAACTGGCGTATAAATGGATTGTTATGAACAGAAGACAGGTGTTCAACCTTGTCAGAACTCATTCTGTGATTGTCCAAGGTTGCAAAGGGACCTAAACTGAAACAAGAATTGATAAGTTAGATAATTATCACACAAAATTATTAGTCAAAAGAATCAGAAATATTTACATTTATGTATGCAGGCAGGGGTTTTTCTTAACAACGGCGGGATGCAATCCTAACCTTTCAGGAGAAAAATAGAGTGCAAAAAAAAAAAAATTTAACAGGAATATATTTACTCAAGGAGATTTGAATATATTTATAAATGGACTGGTTCTCAGATAAAAAATGAACATCTTAACATTTAAATTTTACATTAAAGAACATGAAATATAAGGAAAACATTGCGGCATTGTGATTTTTTTTGTTAAGAGAAAAAGTTTCAGTCATAAAAATTTTATTTCTTGGGGAATTTTTAAGTATTTTATGAAGTTATTAATAAAAATAATGGTCATTAAAAGATTTGACTTTTGTCAATTTTGATTTTGCTTGGGGCCATTTTAATTTTTTTGTTGTTCATTTGACTTGTTTTTAACTTGGGGTGACTTATTTTAGCCCCATTTATGTGACCCCAGTATGATTAATGTATGTTTTAGTAATTTGCCTATATACATTTTGTATTAACTGTACTCAATTAAGTTTTTTACAGCACTACATACAAATGTAATGCATCTATGTAACTTTGTATATTTTATGCAAATAACTTGACAACTAAACTAACTAATGCTTTACTATTATTTGAATGTAACAGTCAATTAAGCAACCCGGGGCTCGAATCCTAGAATAGTAGGGACTTTGATTTTTGGATAACTATGGTAAATAATATTATAATCTGGGACTTAAAATGATGGGACATGCCCAGATATAATATGGTAAAATTATCTGCAATTCGAGTTGGGACTTTCATTTTAATATCCCATGCTTTTTTAAAAACTTTTACAAAATGATTTTCTGTTAAAAAAGTATATATTCATAAATTGAGATTTCATATAATTATATGCAAAGGGGGTTGTAACGGTGCCTTGAGACTTGACCCTATATTTGGGTTATTTGTGACCAAAACTAGGTCCAGACCAAAAAAACAGGTGACAATCCTTATTTAAGAATTGTCACCTGTTTTTTTGGTCTGGACCTAGTTTTGGTCACAAATCACCCTAATAGAGAGTCCAGGCACCGTTACAACCCCCTTTGATTATATGTACATTTCTTAATTAAAAAGTTTTCACTATTACTTGGTGGTGTGCAGGCAGAGCTGGGGGAAACGAGGATAGCTTTATATGTCTTGTGTCTGCCAGAATTATGTGGTAGAGGCTAGTTTTATTTTGGCAAGCTAGTTTTATTATTGTCACCAAAAAGCAGTGGATATGACAAACTTACATGTTCCCACTGTCAAAAGTACCTAGTCACTACTGTTGGGGTTTGGGGAGGGCACTCATGTAACTGAATATTGTAAGATTGTCCTATGTTTTACTCCTATGACTGTTCACAACATTTACTCACATAATTCCAGTTTGTCAATGCATTTAATACATTATAGATCTATATAATATTCAATAATAATTAATAGCGAGCTCGACGAGCTGGCCCGAAGGTCCTGCTCGCAAAGCGAGCTTTACGGTAACGCGAGTAACTTCTAAGTGATGGTTTTGAAAACTTTCGTCCGAGTTACCGAATTGGACACATCGCAACCTTTCGAATTTAAAGATAACGATAAAAACTGAGAAATTCTGACTGAAAACGGATGTGTAGACTGGTCACCCGCGCACGTCTATGGGAACCATAATTGGACAGGGAACCAGAATAACGGAAGCTGCCGATAAAATATCGAACGGAAATGAAAATTGAAGGCGCCATTTTGTTTGAAAAATCTGATAAATAAAAACAATTTTTTGTCGAATTTTGTTGTGAAAACTATCTAGAATGAAAGAAAATGGTCTAACTAAGAAAATGAATCCGAACACCAATATCTTTTATTCAGTCGTTAACGCTGTACAGACGTTTAAAGTATTGTTTACATGACGTCACAATGTAGCGCCAAACAGCACGTGCAAAACAAACAAATCAAGTACGCTATTTTAATGTCGCAAACGTTTTAAGTTTTACATTTATTTCACTTTTAACAATCTTTATTTCGCTTGAAAAATTATAGATCTAGAGTGAAATAGAATAAACAAAGTTTTATCAACGTTTTCAAAACTCGTTATTCATTTAACGACAGGGGCTGAGCCATATTTAACACAGTACGTGTAACGTCACACGCACTCGTCAATAAAAATGAGCGATTATTTCATATTATTTCATGTTAAAAGTACATCGAGCTCGCTTTGAAGCTTTGCCTTTTTCATATTATGTATTGTCATAATTTGACATTTCAGTCCCATATATCTACTTTTCATAAGGTTTTTCTATGTTTAACATGCAATTTTACACATACAAAATCAAAACTGAGATGTTGTCAGAAACATTATTTTGTCTCTTCATTTTATTGTTGATGACTCACAAGCTTCCTCGTTCCTTATTTTTATTTTTTTTTTGCAAAATTAATATCTATTTCAAGAAAAATCAATATTAACAATACTTAGGTCATTGCTATTAACATATTTCAATTAAAATTTGTATATTAAAACATTAATGACAACAGAGTAAGGTAGTGAAACGAAAGAGAAAATTTACTCACAAACAGTACGAATTAACCAACTCGGGTGTCTCCAATATCCTCCATTACTATTTGTGACGTCATTTATTGACAGGTGCGAGACTTCAATTTGATTGACAGATGCTACTTTCAGTTTCTTAATTTTGTTTTGAAACCGTTCATTGAAAATATATTAAAACTGGCATCGGTGTATGGTGTTATTCTTTTATAACAAAGCAAATCAAGTCGTAATTTTCTTATTCTATCAGCTCACGCAATGTTTTTATCACATTTAAAATTTTATGTCGCTGCAAAAATTAAATTTCATTAATTTAAACATTGGAAGCAATATAATGTATCTTATTTTGAATCAATTTTTTAAATGTATAAAAAGAATATTTTTATTATGATTATTTCTAAATTATTGTTATAACAACTAATCTCAAAACGTGGTGTTCTTCACTGCGAGCCGTTTAAATATCTAACCGGAAGTATCTTAATAGTGGTTACCAAGGGAGATATACGGGAAGACGACGCTATACCAGTAACAAAAAAATAGACGCGTATGTTTGATTAGGACGAGTTGTTTTATTTATTCTTGATTGTGGTGTAAGGTCGAAGGACCGAAGATGCTAGGAACGAAAGCAGCAACGTCGATTGGTCCTGAAGGATGGAGGAATTCAACTTTGAAAGGGATAAAATTGTCACAAACAATAGTACAAAAAAGTGACAAAAATTGTGATATTGGACGTTCAATGGACCCACTCCCACAATTAAGGGATACAGTCGCCCAATTAAGCAACGAAGAAATTCACCGTTATACACGTGAAGTTAGAGGTGTTGTCGCAAAACTCAGAGAGAGTCTTTTGGAAACAAATGAAGAAATAAAATCACTTACTAGAGGTAAAGAACAATTGGAAAAGGCTTTAGAACATACCAGGAAAGACATTCAGTTGAACAAAGACAGTCAGGAAAATCGTCTTTCAAGGCCAACTAAAGAGAGGGTATGGAATGTGTGCCGTGTATTAGCTATTACACAAATAATTACATGCTCATATCTTTTATGACTTGCTTTTTTACCATCCTATTTACAGTAGTCAGTTCCTGCCCTGATGTTTCCTCCTAGATTGTTCTTCCCCAATTTTGTGGGAAAACTGTATGCATATGTGCAAATTGTTCCTCTCCATTTTTTCTTATAATAAAATAATATTGATTGATTGAAATACAAATATGTGAATTATAAAGGAACTATCTTTTTAGAAGATTACCATACAATATCAGTTCATCATTAATTCTAAACATTTTATTTCATTAATATTTTATTTAACTTTCCTTTACATAAATAGAATTGTGTAATTTATTGTATAATATATTGACAATGTTAAAAGATAATGAAATGAAATTCTTTTGTAAAAAATTGAAAAGAAATAAGTGATAAAAATCATTTAAGTGGAGAACTGTCTGTATATTTCAAATTTGGATAAGGAACTGGTAATAGGGAAAAAGTCTTTCATTCCTATGTACATGTGCTATAAAGAATTCACTGAAATTAATTAGCATTTGAATGTGATAAAAAAAAATCAATTCTAAAATGAAACACATTTTTCCTGTTATTTTCTAAAGGTGAAATTTATCTAACATGTAAAAGAACTTGTTAAGAATCATTTTAATGTTGTAGATGAGTATAAATACAAAAATATTTTAATTTTTTACTGCAAGTAAATGAAATATTTTGAAGCAGTTTCCTTTAAAAAGGGGACATTTGATATCTGACAAGTGATACTTTTATTTATCAATACAGAACTATAATTCATTTAATGAATTATTAAATTTTCATACATTTTCAAATTATTTTCAGTGTCTTGTACATGTATATCATATAAAGTTGTCAGCAGTCAGATTATTAAATTAAAAATTAAGACTAGGTAACCAAGCTAGATGTAGCATAAGTGAAGATCAGTTTAATGGAGCAAGAAATTTTGATTTAAAGACTCCATAAAATAAAGTAATCTGTATATATAATGTATAATAGTAATATTAAAGTATGTTCTTTTGAATAAAAAATTGTGTTACAAGTTAATAGAGATTACACAAATAAAATATTTGATATTTTTAAATTCAAATTTTTCTTGAATAAAAAAATGTGTTACTGCTATTTAATAGATATTGCACAAATAAAAGATTTTGTGTTTAAAAAAACAAGCTATTTTTTAGTTATTAATTTCTGTCTGTGCTATAGTCTCTGCTTTATGAAAATTGATATTTGATCTTCGATTTTTTAATTTTTTTATATTAAGCCTTTTACTTTATTGTGTTGAGAGAATAAAGAAGTTGTAGAACAGAGGGAGACTGTGTTTAAGAAACAAACAGTTGACAGCTATAGTTTCACATGCATGCCTTATAGAAATACATAGTGTTTATAAAGGAGATAATACTTAGACACCATAGAGATAGGAAAACAGAATAAAAAATTCATGACATAAGGTATAAATGTTGTGTTCCTCTATAGACTAATTTCATTCATTTTCAGATCAATCAATATTCTTTTATTGTGTTTGATTTACAGAAATAAATAATAAATTACACTTTTGCAACTACATGCATATAGTTTCTAAACAATTTACTGATTATTTCAGTATTTAGGATGTTTCTCTAGGAATGATATGACCATTTTTTTTAAATTACATGATTCCTCTTTTTATGATTTTTTTATACATGTATCTCTCTGTATGTATCTCTCTGTATATAGTCAAGAAAAGAAATATTGGAGACTTTTTTCATTTTGCCTGTACAGAATTGAATCATTCATTTCTTTTGTAAAGTGTATCATATTATTTATGTTTTGCAAAACAGGTTAACCTTAAAGTCAGTTGTTCAATTTTTATCAAGTTTCTTTCCATGCTACATTGTATTTGTTCGGAGTCTCATATTTACTTTTAAAATAAGCAATTTTGCTATATAAAGCAAATAATGGATTGCATGTAAATAGAAACTTTTATTGAACCATTTTTATATTGTTAACAAATGTGTACTTTTCTTCTTTATCATTTTTTTAACATTAAAAATATGTTTGATTTATGTGACATATTGTATGTGTAATGTGGACTATTTACCTTGTATCAATACAATGTGATATATTCTGAAGAAAATTAATACTGATACAAGTTGCTAACAGAGGCACGGATACTGCTCTTACAAAAAATTATTTAAGTTTATATTCAGGAGAATGCTCTAATTGTAAAATTATTCCCTAATTTTTCGTATTTTAGTTTATAATTTTCATAATGATAATATTAGGTTATCAAATGAGCTTTCTTTCAGCCTAAACCAACAGGAAGAAATGATGTTAATGTCTTGTATATTGTGAACATGTGCTTGCAAAAAATGCCAATTTACATTGTAACTATGTGATTTTTAAAGAAACTGGTTACAAAAATACAGTTATGTTTTTTTTTGTTTTTGTTTTTTTGTTATAATTTTCTTGTTCCAATATTCTGTTTCTTGCTATTAATGATTAAATCTACAAACAGTAAATTGTAATACAGTCCTGTATCATCTGTTTGAATCTGAAGGCTTTAACTGTTTAATTAAACTGTAAAATAATTCTAAAGATATTTATGTTGTGTTTCTGTATTTTCAGGAACATGATGGTGCGGATGACTTGTTGAGTGCAGAAAGGTCACATCTTCTCAACTGTAAAAAAGCCCTGGAGGCTCAGCTGAAATCTGTACAGCAACAACTTCATGTAGGAAATCATTCAATGAATTATTCTTTAATTTATCTGACAAGTTATTGCTTTCTGTTTGTTCTTTTTTTTTTAAGAATAATCTTCCAAACCTTTATCTACCCTTAAACACCAATTAGGAGGAATAGAGAATGTACCGGTTATGTTAATTTTCTGCTATAATGGCAACAAGTTAAAAATGTACAAGAATAAAAACATCATGAAATTGAAAAATACCTTACAGAATTATTGACTTTTTTCATGGACAAAATTTTATGTTGTCATTTGAGCTCAAATTACATGAAGTTGGTTGTTAAAAAATCTCTACATTTCAAAATACTAGTCATGAAGATTATTTAAGTATTTTGTTGTTTAAAGTTCCTCCTCTATGCTCACATGTATACTTTTAACATAAATATTATTTTTACTATAGTTATAAACTTATAATCAAATATTTATAATATTCATTGTTTATGATTTTATCTTATAATAGTAATAATTAGTGCTGACATTTGGAACATATTCAAAATTATTTACATACTGTAATTTTCAACAGGATGATATTTGTACAAAATTATAAGCTGACATAATTTTGGCAACAGACTATACATGTATATTTTAACACAAACTGGGTTTTTTTCTTCAAAATCCCACAGAAAATAAGGGAAATAAATAAATTGAAATTGTAGACTTAATTCTTACATGATGCTTTAAACTTACTGTTCCAAATTTTAGTTATTTGGAAATTTGAGATAAGTTCTTTAACTTAAAAAAAGTCTTTAACAGTATTTCTTTTTTCATAGCATTATATTTGAATAGTACTAATGATTTATTTAGCAGTGCACATGATTGAATTTTATCTGGGATTATACATTTTCTGAATTGAATGAAGTAAGAAAAGTTGAGCTTAGTGCAAACATATACATTTAGGGGAAGGATTTATAATACAAGGGATTATGTATAGATTTGTGATATTTGCTTGACTACAAGACTGATTGATTATTTTATTTCAATTTTACAACTTTGAATATGATTGAAAATCTAAAGTTTATACTAGGATTACTAAATCAGAGATTACCAATATGTTTATACAGTTTCATTTACTCCTTTCATTTATTATTAATTTATAAATATCCGACCATTTCTCCTATAACTCTTTTAAGTCAGTAGCTTGTGGGATCTGGTATAATAATGTTTGCTAAGATAAGTTAAAAAGTAATGAAATGATTTATTTATTATTTAAAACAGATTTTCAGAGTTGTGATATTTATATAAGTGTTTCAATATATTGTAATCCTATCGTGATTCTGATATAACATGAACAAAATAAACTATAAAGATTTAAAACTCATTTGAAGAAATTAATACTAGAATATATAAGCATTCACAGTATATTGTATTAAATGATAAAAACTTTTGAAAGATATAAAAAACATTCTATTATTGAATGACTGAATTAGAGCTGTCAGAAGTTGTGATACCTGAATGTTAACATCAATTCTCAACAGTTGATCAGATATTGTAAAGAAATTTAGAATACTGTGATGTATTACAAATTACAAATTAGCAGGAAACAAAATAATCAAAACTTTACATCTATGCATTGTTAATTTTGCTGCTAAATATCATCAGCCCATTGCAAAGGAAGAGATCATTACTTTTTTTTTGTTTGCGTATGTATCACAGTAAACTGTTGTTTCTATGTTGTAATGATTATGTATTTATATGAAGAATTAAGTCAGTGTCTTATTATATTTACAGGTATTAGATCAGGCAAGGAAGAGGTTATTTAATGTTCTACAGGAGCGATCTAGAGTCCTTGACCTTTTGTGTCATGCTCTCTCATCCATTGCAAACAGTGCTAAACATAGTGCACGTCTTTCCCGCAGCCGTACATCACTGGATGGACGACTCTCTCGATTTGGTCCATCTGTCACAGATCCTCTTGGATCTTATACACCAGAGACTGATCAAGCTTTGGCAGATGCATATGATGCTCGAAACAGGTCGGCATATCTCCGTAGAGAACTTAAAGATGCAATTGAAAGAACAGATAAACTCACCAAGGCTGCACATAAATCTGTCAATGATGGAATGACACAGAAATTTTCAGAAACAGTTACATTAAAGGTAGTTCATTAGTTATGTTTTATATCTTTTTATATGTTAACCTATTTGCTGAATCATCATATTTTCAGAAAAATGAGTTTTCAGATTTAAAGTACAATCTATTTAAACACAAAAGGGTTAGGGGAAATCAGAATATACAATTTTTATTTGTTATTTTTTCTATTAAACAACTTATGTTACGACTAAGGTGAATAATTGTTGTTATGAATGATTACAGCAACATTTGACAGTGAGCCACGGAGAGAATAGACATGCGATACAGAGGGCACAAAGATGGTACGATGCTACAGATAGAGCTAGAGGTTACTCTATGGTAATTTTTTAACACTTATATTCTTCATGTTTAGAATTACCTTTATTAATGAATGGTTATTCTTGATATGATAGATTGATCCATCAAATATTTTATGAATTGTATGTTAAGCCTACTTTTAAAGTATAGATTTTCACCAAATAAGGCTCATGAATTAAGGGTAAGAATTTAGTGCTTATTTATAAAAGATGTATGCAGCTCATGTCTTTTCTGTGTAATTACATGATGCTGTAAAAGTTGTTTTTTTTCATTATTCAAGTTCATTTTATAACATTAAGCTATTCAAAGTACAACATAAAAGTTTGTTTGCTTGGTAAATCTTTTACCAACAACTTCATGAGAGATATTACAGCTTTGAAAATTGTCTGTTATTATTTATGTTCATGAATAAAATGTTACTTATTGAACATGTTAAATAAGTGTTGTGAGATAAACTGTGTAAGGTTAAATTTCAGAGATAGCTGTTTATCATATTTTGATTGTATATGTTTCTATAGGGCCCAGTTATGAGTGCTGACTTGTCATATTTTGATTGTATATATTTCTATAGGGCTCAGTTATGAGTGCTGACTTATCATATTTTGATTGTACATGTTTCTATAGGGCCCAGTTATGAGTGCTGACTTGTCATATTTTGATTGACTTATCATATTTTGATTGTATACGATTCTATAGGGCCCAGTTATGAGTGCTGACTTATCATATTTTGATTGTATATGTTTCTATAGGGCCCAGTTATGAGTGCTGACTTGTCAACAAGAGAGAGGCTTGACCGGCCAATGGTACGAGTGTTCCAGCGTCATCCAGGCACACAGTTACCTGAGGCACAGCAAATCATCGAGGTAATTTTCTTCACTTAAGATAGGCAACAAAAATTACTATTAATGAAGATAATAAAGAAATGATTATTGAAGATGTAATAACTGTTGAAAAATGCTCTAGTTACCTTTTAGCTGGACTAAAGATATTAAGCTATCCTACTCACCCAATCCTCACTGATTTCAGATTAAAGATTAACTGTTGATGTTTTTTTTATTTAGTTTGATTTATTTCAACAGTTATTCCTTTTCATGATCACATCACAAATAAAAATCTTCATCACAGAACTTTAAAGGATGATTCTCAATTTATTGAAATCTGTTTAATAACTTAAGGGATTTTCTTGAAGCTTTCATCATTTACACCACATTTGTAATGTGCATGAAATATTTGGTAGTTTTTTCCCAGATCTTATAATAATGATTTGAAAAATTATGCTCAAACTGTAATTCATGGTTTGATATTGCAGTAAAGTGTTTATTTGTTTCTGTAAGTTTGTGTGATAAACATTACAGGGTGGAGATGGATTATTACAATCACTTACTGCCACAAGTAGAAACATTGGTCTTCTTAAACTAGCCAGTCTACGCCTTGATGATGATATACGAAGCAAGAGTGCGGCCGCATCAATTGATGGTGGTATTATACGCCTCCGTAGACGCAAGTCTGATCACAGATGGACTCTCGGTGCTGCGTTCTAGCAGTATAGGCAACTCTGAAAAAACTTTTTTTGTATTATAAAACAAGTATTATATTGTTATCTTGCACTTGATGAAATCAAAATGTGGTTGTTTTTATACATTTCATGTGAATCTGCACGCTTTCTGCATTAAATATTTATAGAGGTAATACGGTTGTATCAGTATTTTCTATTTTGTGATAAATTTTAAGCTTTTGATATCAGTATTACATGTTAAAGTTATAAATTAAGAAATGACGGGCATATATACTTTATACTGTAGTAGTATTATTGAGGCTGGAGGCACAATGAAAAGAACAGGTGGTTAAGATGTTTATATTTGACTTTGTTTCTTGTCAATGGTGGAAGGGTTTGTGATGCAAGTATTTTAATATAGATCTGATTTGTCAATTTTACAATTTGTTTATCATTGCATGATCTGTTTATCATTGCATGATTTGTTTATCATTGATTAGTTTATCATTTAGGAATCATATCTGTGATCATTTTTAAATTGTGCTCATTTTTTCATAGATGACTTTACACTTGTGCATTACTATAATATACTACAACTATACTTCTATCAGTTGAGAGGGAATAATCTAATCATTTACATTCAGACACCAGCTAGTAGTACACTGCAAAATATGTAATGAAATTCTCCATTTTTTTCTAATGCCAAAACAAATATGTTATGAAAAGTCAAAACTTTAAAAGAAAATAGTTATATTTAACCACATACAATTTTTACATGTAAATATAAAAGTGTTATTAAAATTGATTAAGGTTACATGCACTGTCTGGTATTATTTATGTAGAAGTTATGTAATGATTACATTACAGTATTTTTTTCCACAATGCAGTATTATTTATTTATTTGGATACACTTACTCCACATGTCTATAATATACATGATTATTTATTCAGAAGCTTAATCAGTTACTACTGTAGCTCTCAGTAGTTTATTTATACATATAGGTTATACAACGTGAACAATGTTTATCGGTTATAATGTGACAGTACTTCATTAACTAAAACATTGTTACAGTGGAAGCATAGTATGTTGAATAAGGAGGAAAGAAATATCTTCTCATACTTTGATTGTTCAATCATGAATTTATTGCCTATCAATTTGTTCATCTATATATACATGTATTTTAATCTGAATATTTATTCAGTGCTCAATATAAAAATTAAAGTGCAGTTAGATTAAAAAAGAGCTCAGAAATTATCAATCATATGTAAACAGTATAAAATATATGCACATATAAATAGATTTAATCATCTTTCTATAGATAATGTCAACTTATTTGAAATCAGCCACATTTTTTACTGTAAAACACACAAAAGTATGTAAAACACACAAAAGTATATTAACTGTCACACACTATATTTAAAATTTAGTCCATTAAATTAGAGTTGCAAATAATAAGATACAAAGAAGCTAGTCATGTACATTAATCTGTTTGTTAATATCTAGGAATAACACACTTGTACATTATATCACAGTTAAATTGTCCCAGTATCATTGACATGGGCTAATTAACACATTTCTGTGTGTTGTTGGAAATAAGCTAGAATATTTTCACATTTATGTTTCGTTTCAATACAAATGTAAAAGATTCTAGCATTTTTGATACCCAACTGACTGACCTTTATCTGTCAGAGGTCACAAAGGACCCAACAAATGTCAAGGACATCAATTATTGATTGGAAAACAGTCAATGTTGAAAAGGCAATGTAACAGTGATATAATTGTATTGTGCTGTAAATTTAAACAATTAACAATATAATCACTGCTCTGTACAAAGTTTAGATAGGCTACATTAAGGTATTACATATATATAACTATACTAACTTTTTCTACAAACTAATGTTATAACATTATTACACCATTGAGGTATTACATTTTTTCTGTCAGTATTAGCTCACCGTTGACAAGGGTAGTATACAGTTTATCTTTAAACAATATACATGTACATGTATTCAACTGGGATTTCCAGTCTGTTTATAAAAGAGGAGAAACATATATTAGTACATTCTAGCTTATGATTTATTTAGAATGTAGATTTTATATCCTCATCAACAATTTGTTAACATAATTTATGTAAATTGGTTGTTTTACAACTTCATTTTCTATATTCTCAAAAAACAAGTCTATATTGGCTGTTACTGGAATGATTTAACAAATATGTTAAGTTTCTGAGGACTATGTCAAAGAGAAATTTTTTATCGTTGTTACATATTTTGTTGTTGTTTTTGTTGTTGATGATTTTTTGCACCAAGTTTATAAACAAACTGTCTGTGATACACACTCTATGCTTTATGTATTTTATTAAGCAATCAACATTTATATAACATACCGGTACCATTGTCTGGTATTTATAAATTAACACTTACCCTGCTGGAATTCTTGAATGGACTTGTCCAGTGTCCATAATGAAACTGTCCATTATCATTATTTTTGAGGATAATGAGTTCAAGATGAAAATTATTAGTTATCCACCGACAGTATAACACCTGGTCCGACTGCAGGGTTATACAGGCTGGCCTGGCTCTATACTGGTGGCAAAGGCACAAAGGCTTTTGGTTCCAGCAGGATAAGAGTTAAATGTTTTGATCAATCATCAATTGTCAATATTTTACAGGTACATGTACATTGAACCCATGCTTGTATCTGTATTGTTTGTATACCATCACCCAATTATACCAGGTTTTTATAACTCAATTTTACATCACTCAGATTTTTTTAAAAAGTTTTAAAATTAATATACATAAATTTATCTTATATTGTCAGTGACAAACCAGAATATGCCTTGCATATAACATGACCATAGTACATAACAGCTCAATACTTCGCTCACTTTTCAGTATTAATACATAGGTATCCCTCATAGTAAGGAATGATACATTTTTGTTGATTTTTATAGCGACACATTTTTCTTATTGACTGTAATTATCAAATTCTATTAACATTATACAGAATTACACATATTTTATTTCTTATGACACAATCAGTTTCTTGTTCATTTGTTTCGTGGTCATCCAAGTTCATTTGTTAACTTGAGGTTTACTGTGCATGGGTTTATTATTGCTTTGAACTGCCTCCTCTTTCATGGGTGTATGTAACTTTTTGTGACAATAGATATAGGTATCAAATTGTTAACATAGTCATGAATTTGTTCATTCCTGAGCCTTAGGTTGACCCTTAACTTGCTAGATCTAAAGTTGATGATTATTGATAAGTTACCCAGGAAAGTCGATCAGGTGTACTGACAGTCGAAAAAAATCTTCTTTAAAACAAAAAAGTTAGAATCAAATGTGATAATCCTTTTGCACATTTATAATGAAGTCTAACCAGGCACTTTATTGATGCCAGCTTATTTTTTTGTATTTTTTAAAGGAAATTCCTTACACTTCAACTAGACTGTTCCAAATTCAAAGCATGGCATGTCCAATATATAAATTTAGCAGGTTAATAGATTTAAGGCTGAAAACCAGTCTGAGCTCACATATGAAATTTACTTATAGAAGAGTTGTATTTCTTGACTGGTCTCTTTTCTACATAGATGTAACATTGAAGTGAGGACTAGCTGATTGTTATAGATTCACTTTGTTGCTGATGTATTATCAAACATTATGAGTGCTTAATAAATACTGAAAAAAATATCGGGCTTGTTTTGCTTTTATTTTAAAGTTTATCTGAAAATGATACAGTGTATGTGTGCAGCATACTAAAATGTTATTCTTTTGGTCTGAAAATTGTATGTACTGTATAGTCACAAATGAACCATAAAAAAATGTTTGTTAGCAATTTTAATATTTTTATAAATTAAAAGTAAAATGAATAAAGTCTTAAGCAGGAAATAATACACAGAAGTCACATGGCATTCAGCCAGTAATCAACCTCTGGAACACTGCTAACCACTACCCCCTACCCTTCTTTTTTAATTCTTAGTGGCCTATCTATATCTGATATTTTCCTATATATATCATAATAATATAAGAAAGATGCCCAGCTAATTATCAAGACTGTTAACTGGCATTATTAAATAACTATACGTTATAAGTCCTATAAAAAAAAACACCTGCCACGTTCAATAACACGATGACCTGCCTTAAAACAGGGCCAATATCTATATCACTTTTTCGGCCCCGGGCTGAAAAGTGATATAGATATTAAGCCCGCATTTGAAGTAATTTGATTGGCTAATAAAGCAGGGCCAAAAAATGATATAGATATCTGCAAGAAACTAGGAAATGGCAGCCATTTTGTTTTAACTCGGTCTATGTGTAGACGCCGACAGGTTGCATAAATGAAACAAAATATTCTCAGTTTCTAAACATTCACAGTCACATTTTGTTGAACATGTACAATATAAGTTACAAAATGTAGGTTTTCCATACAAACTGATAAAATGTAGTTATTTTTACAGTTGTTCTTTGTTATAATTAAAATATGTTAGAATTGAATTAAGAAGAACTAGAACTATCACTAAATGTGATTAATACCCCCACAAGTCTGCTTCGGAAATGAGGATGTTACTAGTAACAGAATACCTTGTAATAGAATTGAAACATAGAGTTATGGTTGTGGGCAATTAAAGATAATTGTGGTTCATGTATGTTATTTCCTTTCAATGTGGTTGGCCATTGATGAAGTTTAATTGAATTACTCTGTAATAAGTCCAGAAAGACAAAGAAAAAGAACAAAGGGCAATAACTCTATAAATACTGAAGATAGAGTTATAGTTCTTGTGCACTGCACTTCCTCTTATTGTGCTTGACCATTGTATGAAGTTGTACTGAATTCCAAACAGTATTTTTCAAGTTATGCTCTGGACAAGGAAAAGTAACAAAGGGCAATAACTTTGTAATTAGTCAAGATGGAGTTATGGTTCTTGTGCACTGCACTTCCCCTTATTGTGCTTGACCATTGTATGAAGTTGTTTTGAATTCCAACCAGTAGTTTTCAAGTCATGCTCTGGACAAGGAAAAGTAACAAAGGGCAGTAACTCTGTAATTAGTCAAGATGGAGTTATGGTTCTTATGCACTGCACTTCCTCTCAATGTGCTTGACCATTGTATGAAGTTATAATGAATTCCAACAATAAGTCTTCAAGTTATGGTCTGGACAAAAGAAAGCAATGGAAAAGTAACAAAGGGCAAT